TATAGCAAAAATAAATTGAATCATGCGTAAGGCTTTATAACAAACATACATACGTACATAGATATGTAAATGAAAAACCAAAATTAAAATCACCATCATATAAAAATGTAAATAATCTCATACAAAGGAATAGCTGTGTTACACAATTTTGTGTATAATATAATGAGGAAAAAAATTAAATAAACTTGTGAGTATACAGCAAAATATCTTTGGTATATTAAGGAAATAGTTTGTTTAATTTATAATTATATGAATAAATATGAAAGCAAACAAATGCCGTAAATGAAAAAAGAAAAATTTACACTAAGTATTTGACACAGTGCGAATGTAGTTTTTCTAACGCATTTTACAAACATTTTAACTTTTGGGTCTGCGAATTTTTGGCTTATGAACTACTAAGTATTAATTGCACAACAAATTCCACAACACTCTTAATTTCCAAACGAAATGTCTTTTCTTAAGTCTTTGTTTCTTTGCCTCACATTTATAATAAGAAAATAATAGTTAAATAAATATATTTATAAATAAAATGCAACAACAAAAAAGTTTATAATCGCGCCGGAAGTCTTTGGTTTGCGTTACTGGGCAAGAAGTTGATTTACTTGTACTATATTACAATATTTAAACAATAGTTTGACCATTTGTAAAAATAAGCAAGTGTACATATGTATACGTAAATATAATTTTTTTACAAAACGGGACTACGGACAAGACTTGTTTCATTAGCTGCACAAAAAAACTAGTTCACAGATCATTTGTGTTCTCTTTTTTTTTTAGGATTCAATCAGACAGCTATGCGCATGCATCGCTTACTTAGAATTGTACATGTGTGCGATTTTAGTTTATACTTAAATTAACATTGTGATGGAATTCCTTGAGTAATTGAATTTTCCAGCACAATGTGGCAATCATCCAGTGGTTCGAGTATTTGAATTAAAAACGTGAGTAAATTTTTGCGTCGAAGAAAACTTTCCTCTTCGTACATCTCGTGCGTGACCTTCGTCATAGCCATGGGCTTGATCATGCGCGTTAGTAAATGTTCGCTGAAAACAAAAATGCATCAAATTATAAATATACGCATGTACATACATATATCGTAGATATTAACGGAAAAGGTCCTAAATGATAAATTCATAGGCAGCTTTATAGGTACAAGCAAAATCTTTTTAAATTAAAACAGCAGCAAAGATGCCAATAAATCAAATATTTATTGAGAGGCTTAGGTATGGGGCCGTAAAGAAATATTAAAAATGCGTTTCCCAAAACACAACAGACGCTTCTGAATTGTTAAAAGCTATATTTGAAGTATTTAGGTAGCAAGACCTTAGTTGCGTTCCAGGTGCCTCAAGATTTGCAGGTTTTTACAGTAAGGCCTTGCCGGTCGCCACCTTCCATAAGATTTATTAATAAACAGGGCTCTTAATTAGGAAGATATTAATTTAGATTAAAAATTAACTTATTTTGCAACTCTCTTTCAGTTTTGTTCCAATTTCGTTTAGGGTTAGTTTTCTACTGCACTTTAAACTGATGCAAACTATTATTAGAAAACTATCTTTAATTAAATTTTTTTATAAAATACTCGAAAATCGCTTCATTTTTTTGTTTATAATCCATGTTAGTAATCCATGTCCTGTACACAAAAATGTAATAAAGAGAAATTCGAAGAAAAATGGAGCTGGCTACTTATGCCGCTAGCTTGAAAATCTTTATTTGTGTTGTTCAGTATGAATGTAATTAATTTTAGGCAGGACAACTTACCATGGATCTGCTAATTTCTCACAACATACATATTTATCGTTAGTCGACAATTTAAACTCTATACTTAACTTTTATAAACAATTAATTACGAGGGCTTGGGGATGTATTTTTTTCCTTACCGCAAACTCAGGCATATGAGCAATTGAAATTTGCCATCCTTGCCCAATTGACTACCGGCCGCATTTATTTCATCCATCAAATGCACATAGTAACGCCAAATGGCCGACAATTCACGCCTTTGCAAACTGTTTGCGCCGCTACCATCACTAAATGATGAATCCACACTTGATGCAGAGTCATCCAAATGCTGCTGCATTTGTTGTTGCTGTTCGTGTTGCATGTACTGCTCGAATTGCTCTTTAATTTTAGCTAAATTAAAAAAAAAATATATATATTAAAAAAAGTACTTCAAATAAAATCTTGTTGGTCTACTAACTAAAATAGTCCCATATATAAAGATTTTTGCCGAAGAAACGAGTCGAGCGAAAACCACATAAGAAAATACACTCTAGACATTTCACCAAACCGTCATCTCCGCAAAGTAAATTTGTCAAGGTGCCAACATCGCGATCACGACTTGGTTTATAATGCCATTTTACAATAACATTCACACAATTGCCCAACTGGTGTTGCAACTCCGAGGTGGGCACTGTATCCTGCCGTTGTACACTTGGACTACGCGTGCGTGGTGGTGTCTGAGTAGCAGTTGGCAACTCAGCATTCTTAGAATTGGTGGAAACGCGTTGCCCCACGAGTAAACGTTCGGTAGAATCATCGTCGACGCCTTTGCCAAGCCAGCGACCACAAGGAAATCTATGTTTTGGAGTAATTTCAAAAATAGCATAGTAAATAATTTCGAGTATCGTCTCTTTTAGTACAATTCACTTACTTATATGTGTGGCTGGTAGCTTCATTACGCATAACTACATGTTCCACTAGCCATTTGTGTGACGGCCCAGAGTTATCGTGGCCAATGCGCATTGTTGTTAATAAACCGAGGTTCTTATACTGGAAATAAACATGTTTATAAACTATACTGCAATAAATATGAATATTTTTAGAAATTCACATGAAAAATAAACTCCAAAGATCCTTTAGGCACAGGCACACGCTGCGTCTCGTTCATTGTTCCCGACACTATTATCCAAACATTGCTGGAGGTGTGATAGGAGCCATATTTACGCGAGGGAAATATCACTACACGATAAGGTAGTTCTACATAAAAAATTATACATACAAGCGTAAAATTATGAATAAGTAAAAATTTAGATTCTTCAAGCTGATACTGCTTACTTGTAGTGGGATACGTGTTAGTAAATGAGAAATAATCCACTGTATTCAGTGTAAGTAGATGGTAGAGGAATTGTTCTTTTTCCTCTTCGCATCGCAGAAAAGCATTGCGTTTGTAGAGTGAGCGCAGCAACGACTCCTCCGAAAGTAGAGTTCTAAAATGGCGCGAAAGCAATTTTTTCTCCAGCGATAGACGAACCCAAGCGCGTGTGTAACCGATGTGAGTCTTAATATCTGCCATTGCCAGTACGTTTCTAAGCATAAAAATTTTAAAAGTTGTAAGTACGTATTATCTAATGGTGGCGTAGTATAGTTTTTTTTTACATACTTGACATCGAACTCCAATGATTCTGGCAACGGGCATAGTTGCTCGAGTCCAACAAATTTGTTACGATCACGCGAACGACTGCGATTCGGGCTAGGTGGATTATCGATATCCGTTTGGAATGTAGATAAATCTATAAAAGTTATAATAAATTATTGTTTATATAGACATTGAGCGGTGAACTACTCACAGTCCATGCGTTTACGCATTACATTCCAAGCGAGTGCTAAGGAAAACCAGTACATTTTTATACAAATACATATGTACATATGAATGAACATAATATGCACATGCAGAGACAGACTTGCATATATGTATGTACATTAGACCGTACCAGAAAAAATTTCGCAGCCAAAAATATTTTAGCAAAGCAATTTCTGAAACCTCTTTTTTGGCTTGACGTAGGTGTCGCCTTTTTACATGTATCGTCTAATCTTCGCCATTTACCATCGGATCTTAAAGAATGGCATATCGATGTTATTATTATAATTATTTTTTTTGTTCCTAAGTTCATTGACCTTGTACTTATCCACCAGATCCACCCTAATGTAAATTAAAGCTCGCCAAGAATCATTAAACTTTTGCTAACCAAGAATTTCGATTCGAAAGCAATTTACATTTTTCTTCCTAAGGATTGCTATTTCTAATATGTTTTTATTCTAAATTTATGAAAGATCATGATTTGAGGTGCGTGCAAGTATCCTAAAGTTCTTTCATATTGATATTTTTAGCGAAAGTAACTTTTTTTATTTTAATTTTTTTATTTGCAAAATTGTCGATGAATGAATGATTAACTCCTAACTACTAACTACCGGTTGGAAAATATCGTTTACGTGGAGGATTTAATAAGCTTCACTACTGTGGAAAGAAATTTAATATTTGCCAGCTATATAAAAAAAAAAATGCAATTAAATGAGTGCACTTTTTCACATCTCTAAAAACCGAAATTTATCCACATTTCAAAAACTATTATAGTTTATTATGTTTTGGCTTCATATTCAGATTCGGCGGAAAATTTTACATAGGCAGCGATGGTTTAGTGCCACAGGTGGGATTTCTTGTAAACTAATGTAATTTATGTTAAAAAACGCCCCAACACATTTTGGATGGCTAAATCTCAGAAATGGTAATCCTTAGAAAAAAAATGTTATAACAGTTTTTATAGATAATTGCATAATCTAAAGTTTTGTCTCACCTATTTTTGTGATAAATCTTACCGTTTTGCTTAAAAATTCATTGATATGTGACCTTTGACCTTGAATAAACTTTTCTTCAGGCGTGGGATCAATGGGGACTTTTTAACATTTCATTCATAATGGTGTTCGCGACACTATTACCAATTTTCAGTTTTATGCGAATTATTGGAAGCTTGAATGTCTAACTTGACCGGGTTAGTAGAATTAAGAAAAATATAAATTGTATAAATTAAAAAAAAATGGAAAATACCTCGCAAATACATATGTATACTTTAAGGATCAGGGGTGTTCGGCGACCTATTTTTGTTTGCTTGTTAGGTGGCACGGTCTAATATATGTACATTAGCCTGGTTCTAAAATCCGTTTTTTTATAATTTTGTTTGGTAATAGCAAAAATATGGTTCATTATGCTCTAAAAACAATCTGTGTGAAAAACGACAATTTTTGGTCAATATCTTAGCTCGCGCTAGTCCATCAAAGTTCAAGTGCTAAAAAAAAATGTTTTCTTCGCTTACTTCGATTCTCTCCAAAAAAGTTCCATATACCAAATTATGTTGGAAGATAATTGCAATTTTAGTAAAAAAAAAAATTATTAATTAATGTATTTAATAATCTTTATTTTTTTGAGCACATTCAATTTTGATGGACTTGGGCGAGCCTAAGTATTGACCAAAAATTGTCGTCTTTCACACAGATTGTTTTTAGAGCAAAAAAAAAACATGCAAATTAAATACTTTAACTTAGCTGCATACTAACCTGGTGTTGTGCTGGAATAACTGCCGCTACTAATTTTATTGCCACCTATCGTTTTGGGTGCAACATTTGCTATAGTCGTTGTTGTGCTATTATTGGCACGTACATCCTGCAACTCCAAATATGCCTGCAAATGACACCACAATGCCGATTTACCTTGCTTGGATTGTAGACCATGAGACCAAATTTTCTCCAATAAGTCACATAAAGACGCAATTAGAGTATTTTCCTCAACACCGTCACCCTTAAGGCCCAACGCCACAGCCTCTGTGCCCATCTTCTCCAATAGCATACGCTTTGTTTTCGACTTGATATCCTAAAAAAAAATATATATATAATAAAATAGCGTATTTGTGTTTAAAATAACTCAGGTACAGCTTTGTAATAACTTTGAAAATAAAAATAAAAATAAAATAACTCGAGTCATGATTCATCAAATACAACTCACTTTAAGTAGACGCTCCACAAAAGTCCAATTCGCCTGCGCCAATAATGCTGGACTGACTTCAGCTGTCGACAGGTTTGCTGAAAGACGATTCACCGCATTTGTTGATTTCTGATCAATGGAAATTTCCTTGGCGCGCCATTTGTTGCCATTCTTTACACGTCGCAAACTGTTGCCCCTGTAAACGTAAGTTATATGCGCGGGACAAAAGTAAACGAGAAAGAAAAAAGAAAAAAATTCGCGAATTTGTGGCAGCGTTTTCGTAAGTTAGTTGGGTATATCAATTAGAATTTCTTATGAGTTAGGTTATGTTTTAGTGGCGGATTATTTGAATTTGTTGGGGAAGGTACAGTTTAAAAATCTATATAATTTTTTATTTTTTATTCTTGATTATATTGTTATGATTTTAATAAAGTACATAAAAATCAAACGCCGACTAGAAAAAAAAAATCGTACATGTACTACATAAAATTTAAATTAAAAGATAAAAGATCAGCTAGATTTAAATATTACCTTGGTGTGGAATTGACAATATGTAGATACATTGAAATTGATCGTTTATTTTATGTTAAAGTATTGCGACTGAATTGTTTATGCAAAATAAAATAAAATTAAGTGCTTAACCCGAACAAAAAAAAAAAGACCCTAGGCCGAAGTTATAGTCGTTTGATAGAGCACACTTTTGTTAAAAGCGGATATTGGTTTAAAATCAGATTTACTTTATTTAACTTTAACATAAAATGAACTATTAAAACTGCATATTTTTCTCGTATACTAATATCAATTTTTTTCATGCCAACAAAACAAAAAATTACTACTCAATATTATTAAAACGCATTAAAATTTTATTTTCATTAACTGTTAATTTAACAAACGAACGAAAAAATAACTGTTCACAGAATTATTAGTGGAAGACTTTTTGCTCACTCAGCTATTTTTCCTTTATAAATATTATTATAGTTTATATTTGGAAAAAGTTTGCTTAAAATTGTTCTTAAAACATAAAATAATATCAGCCTGCATTGATTATGCGCAGTTCAAAATAAATACATATTTACTAAATTTTGTGACGCAACTACTTGGTAGTGCTGATGATTTAGTAACAAAGAATACGAGTGAATAAAAAAAAATAACTAATACATTACAACTCTTAAACAACTATGCACACTTTCAACGTCATAATTATTGTGTTCATTAACATTGTACTAAAACAACATTCGCTCAAACATTATTGCAACATGTGAGGATCTAATAAAAAAATATCAAATGATAGATACACAGTGAACTAAAAAAAGATCAACGCATATGTATATACTATGTATGCACGCACGCTGCAGAAGCGATAAAAGTAGGCCACCCAACAACCCTTACATGGCGTGCATGGTACTCGATAATTTGATAATTTTTTTAGTGGATATGCTTTATTATATAGTATGTATGTATGTATTTATGTATGTCAACAACACGACTACAACGACAACACTACCTCGAAGCACATTCCTGATTTAGCACAGACTTTTCAAGTATGGGAAAGCTGCGAAAGTAGGCAGCTCTATTGGAGAGTATCTCGCTAGGCGGTGTCACTTCAATGTCAATGCAATGCAAACGCTTCTCGTATACCTGTTGCGCATCCTGCGACATAACGCACGGCTCATAACTGGTAGCGCAAATCATATTTTCACCATGCCTCTTTCTAAATAAATACACAAGAGAAGAAAATAATGAATTTTAAAATTCAAGCTAATCATAAGTAGCGTCTTGTTTTCAAATATTTTAATTGTAATCTATTGGTTTGAAAAATTAAATATATCGCTTAATATCTATCCAACAAATATAGAGAAACTAACTATTGACATCCTTAAGTTCCCAAAACGAGAAAATTCAATAGTTCTCCTTCTTCAAATCCCTTACCTTAGGAGTTTCACGCGCTGGTCGAATATACGCAAATTTGCATCCGGTTCCTTTTCCCACATCGCCAAAATTTTGTTGTCGATTAGTGTTGCAAACATTTGAGATTCTAGAAAGCGCGATAAAAACGCGCGATGATGTTCAGGCTGATCTGATAAAAATGATGATTTATCAAAATTTTGTAATGTCTCTCGATTTGAAAGCCATTCGTCACGTGCTTGATTTGGGTAGATGACGAAAAATTCATAAGCGTAAAACATATGCACAAAGCGATTGAGAAAAGTCTCGCGCAACGCATTGTTTATGCGCAAATCCTGGTAGTATTGCTCTTCTAGCGATAACGTAGGAGTTGTCGTCTTTGTATCCTTACGCGCAGCTGCGGCAGCTTTAGTTGGCGACATCGTTGCGTCGACGGCATCAAAGCTTGTGCCATCATTGAGCGACACAGCACTTGGTGACTGTGTACGTACACCTTTTCGCCGCAAAAAATCGGCAATGCGTGGTACATGTTCGATTTTCGAAGGATGTGCAATGAGTGGTTGATATTCGAGATGATGACCGATGCCGTTGTCAGCACCAGTTGGACTACAATGACCGCTACCGGCCAGCGTGTAAACGGTCTCTTGCAGTTGACTAAAACGTTCTTTACTGCGACGTGCCGCTTGTAGACCGGACGGCAACGTACAACTACTAATCATAACGTCGTGATCGCGTGACGCATAACCGTTTTTCAGTATTGGTTCATATGAACGATCACGTTCTATTTCGAATTTATCCAAAATGGATATTATTTCTGCCATGAAATCGATTTTATGTGGAAATACTGGCAATTCTTCAGGCAGTTGTATAATTTTCTTATCGATATCTACAAAGCAAAGAGTAGCTTCAGTACCAATTTTATTAGCGGACTCGCAATCAGCATGGAGGCCCATGACAAATGGCACGGGTGCATCTAGAAAATGATGGAGGGCAGCGGGCAATATTGGGGCATACACATGTGGCCATACAAATGGAAATAGAATGGAAGTGATGCACTCTCCAACGATCATCAATTTTTGGTAATCTAAAAAAAATTAAATGACAAGTGTAAAAAATGTGATGATTAAGAGATTTCACAAAGTGTTCAAGCCAATTTTAAGCATAACCTACCATTTGAGCGCAAAAGGACTTGATTTTCTAGCAAAACACAGGTCAATAACTGTATAACACATTCTACACCAAGATACGTAAATAGCAATCGTAATGGAAAGTCGAGTAATGGCAGTTCAGAGCTTGGCTCTGGGCGCTGCAGTACCACAGCTAAGGGCGGCAAGTGCGGCTCAGAAGGAGGCAAGTAAATTCGTATTGATTTTCCCGGCTGTGGTAACATTACTTCATACAGAATATTATAGACATAGGATTCGAGACTAATGCCTGGTCCAGGTTGGCGTGGAAGACATCTATGACATGTTCGCAAGAATTAATTAAATACAATTACTAAATATATTTCATACATATCGCTCATTTACTTCAAAAGTGTCATAACTCAAAAACCCAAGACTCGAGATAAACGGCTTAAAGGTTTTGAATTTACATACATATGAATAAATATTTTGTTTTAGTGAGACAACACAGAAGAAGAGATATCGGTAATTTCTGCATACTCAACTCGGTTTGAGTATTTTTTGGATTATGACACCATTGAAGTAAATTCGCAATTTGCATATGTGTATAAACGTCTGTATTTACGCACTTGTATAAATTGCTGAGAAACACGTGAGCAGCGAATGCATACGGAACTTGACAAATTAGCGAAATACTTTTGGCGACAAATAATTTGTCCTTTGTAATATCGTAGTAGCTTTGTGCTGATTGCGGCGACTGTCCGGCCACCTTAAAATGTCGCGGTAGCGAACGACTGACGGGACTCTCTCTCATTCGTCCAAGAGAATGGGTTTGTTGACCGCTAGATAACTCCGTTATAAACATGGACTGCGTTGAAATTCAAATTTTTTTAATAGAAAATGGCTAAATATTTTACAATAAAATACTTGCCTGCAATGTGTGCATTGCACTGCAAATATTCCGATTGCGAATTTCTTCATAGAATACTACGCTAAAGCCATAACAACGTTTCCCATCTTCTCTGGTAGTGGCAAATGAATGAAATTTTGGCTCAATATCATGCTTTTGAGTGCGAAAACGTAATCCTTGCGGCAGTGAAAGCTTGAAATACATACATAATTAAAAACTATCAGATGGCCATATGTATACATAAATCATATTATACATTATATAAATAGCGAAATACAATTAATTTTTAATAATCAACTATTAATGAAATCTTATCAAAACATAATAAACTCAACGAAGTCTATACCTCTGGCGCGTCAAAATGGCCTACTTACTAGGCCCAGCCCCTTCGTGAATTTTATAGATTCATTATAAAATATAATTTAAAATAAATAAGTACAGTAGGCAAAGGTACTCGTCTTTTAATAAGAATGCACTCCTAGACAACTACGCATAGAATGCAAAACATAGAATGCAAAACATATATAAATTGTCAATTTCCCCTACTGAACTCTTTGGCATACAGTTATTATAGAGCCAGTGTTCTTTCAATTGCGAACTTACATTTCTGTTTTAATTTTTTATTGTTCATTCTGTGCCGACTTACCCACCATCGTTGAAGTGAAGCAAATTAAACATTAATTGAAATCAATTGAGGGCCTGTTAGGCAAGATGCTTTGTTACACATGATTTCAAATATGCATATACATACGTACAAACATACTCGCACATTGATATACATATATGTACATATGTAAATATATAAAGCAAATAAATTGTTTTCCATACAAGGTACATATGTATGTACATAAATATACTATGTAGTACTCAAGTATGTACGTAAATACATACATATGTACATACAGTTTAGTCAAGTTGAACCCCCTCTTGATGATGGGCACTTTAAATTGTTCCAACTTTTCATTGTATATAAATATAGGCATGTTAGCATATCATAATAACATACCATACAAATGCCATGGGCATCAAATGGATTCCAGGGCACATTTTCGGGATAATGTGCCAACGGCTTACTCTTATAGGCTCGATCAAGAGGCGAACAATGCAAATTATCACCTTTAATAGCGTGTAAGAAATTAAGAAATCAATTAGCATAATGTTTGGACATATGTATGTATTTAAAATGCTAGATGCCGCACCTGCAAAACGATCAGGCTCTAAGCCCGTGTCTAAATCCAAACCGCATATCACAAAATAATCTGCGAACCGTGAATATTGAGGATCTGATTCGCGTTTTAGTTGCCGCAGTTCGTTTGAGCTCATCTCGCCAGGCGAAGTTGGCGATGTAGCGACACAGTCGTTCGGAGTCTCACTGTTTCCAACTTCATTGAATTGCATATTATAGTTAAGGGAGTTTTTGCTGCCACTTGCGCCATTACTACTGCTGCCGCTGTTATGCTTTCTCATCACCACTTTACCAGGCAGCTGATTATGACTTGACGGTGCGGGTGTGCTCGTTTGCGAATTTTGCTGTATTTGTTGGTCGGCAATCACTAGTTTCGTCATTCGTTGAATATTATTCTCCGTCGTCATAGTTTCACTTCACATGTAGCACACTGCCTCCAAGAGCACTGACACCTTCAGCAACATTAGCAAATTTAGCTAAGCACGGTGGCTCCGGATATAATGAAGGCGTTTTCAAGGATGTGAAAAGTAGTGTTATGAGTATGAGCCACCAAGGATTTTCACTTTTCACCCCCAATCGGTCCACCCTGTGAAGCTTTAACAAATAGTTTCTAGTGCACTTGTAATTGTCATAAATTTTCAGAAACTATTGATTTTTCTGCAAAAAAAAATTAAATTACATTAAGCTTATACACATGTACTAATTAATAAAAATTGGCCAACAACCTACAAATTTAGAAATTTCTTTTCTTACATGTTGTGTATTGCGTACGTTTCTGTTTATTTGTTGTTGTGGCTGGGCCAATCGCTGAAAATGTTGAATTTTCTATTTCTTTATGCTTCTTCTTTTAGTTCTGCTCGATATACGGTGACACTCGATATGTATAAATAGTCGATGTATCGATGTTTTTTGAAAAGTTACATTGCTAGTACACTAGCCGGGTGTGTAATACTTTCACCGCGATACGCAGACCGTCTATCGTGTATTTCGGCGTTTTAGGTCTGCACAGACCCTCTTAAATGAGGGTGTTGAGTTTGTGAAATTTCGTGATTGGGCTCGAATAGTAACAGTCGTGAACCAGCAACTCGTCCCGTAAAAAGCTTATTTCGGATTATAACAGTCTGGACGTATTCTATGTTAAAATTCTTTAAAATGTAAATTTTTTTAATTGTCTATATGGTGTATGGCGAATCGTGTTGTATGTGCATCGCGGTGAAGGTACTCGCCTTGCGCAGCGATGCTACAAGCCAGAAAATTACTTTTTTCTTTTGCTTCAACTTGTCAGATCTTGTGTAGTTGGATCATGCTTCGATGTATGGGAAAATATCGATGTAAATTTCAGCTTTAAGCTAAAGCTCCATAGGCAGGTTTTTCCCCCAAGATTTCGAACTTATTTCAGGCTGTTCAAGCGGCGTCTGACAGTTAACACATTCGAACATTAGTACTGATAAATATGATTATGGCAATGTTGTACTGTTTTGCATAAAAAAAGTCGCAGGCGAAGTATTGATTTTAATAAAAATTTTCAATTTATTGAATTATCGATTGTTAAAAAAAGCGCCGCGGGCGAAAAACTTTGATAAAAATCGTGCAATTTTTTATAAAAAAATTTTAATTATTTATCAAAGTATTGGTTTTTTTAAGCGCCGCGGGCAAAAATCTTAATATGAAATCGCGCAAAGGATAAAAACTTTTTATATAGAAGCCCCCGCTCTGGGGTTTTCACTTTTAGAATCGGAAAAAGTTCTCTACACGCCCTCATTTTTATTTTATTTTTTTTCAAATTTGGACCGGATTTAAGAAAAATTTTCCCTTATTCGATATTTGAAAAATCATGATTTCAAAATACCGCTTAAAGATCTACGAAAAACCGGTGGAAACCGGTTTGGAAAAACCGAATCATCACCCTACAAAGAACAGACCTATTGCATTCTTTGCATCGCATGCTGCAACCCTGTTTATAAAATGCAACCTTCGCAGTAGTTACGGTTCAGTGGATCGATTTTCTTCGCGAAAAGAAATTTTTGCCGCTACCGTTTTGTGATGGCAATTTTCAGAAAACGTTTAAAGAAAATCTAGTTTTATGTGATTTTTGCTTAAAATATTGTGGAAAATACAATTGAAAAGTGAAAGTAATCCCCAATACTTACAAAACTTCGGGCAACCGTGCAGTTAGCTGTACCACGGTGCCCATGTGAAAAGGTCATTGTTTGTTCTGTACAATTTTGCTGAAGCATGGCTGGTGGAAATCAGGCCCGTGTCATCCAGGTGACCAATATCGCACCTCAGGCGACTAAAGATCAAATGCAAACCTTATTTGGCAACATTGGAAAAATTGAAGAGATTCGTTTGTATCCAACGGTGCGTGATGTCTCATGTCCGGTGCAGTCGCGTATATGCTATGTCAAGTATGCGGAAAGCAGCTGTGTGCCGGTGGCCCAACATCTCACCAATACTGTTTTCATTGATCGAGCGCTTATTGTAATACCTGTTCTGGCAATTCCAGAAGAATATCGTGCATTGGAGATGTCTAAAAATGGCACTATTGTGCCAGGATTGCAGAAGCCCGATTCCAAGTTGCCACCTGAAGTGCTTAACCGCATTGAAGGGCAATCACCACAACAGGTTTGTGCAAAAGTTTCAATGCATGTATATATATTCGATGGAAGTTGTTAATTTTCCATTATCATTTCAGGTTATCAAAACTTACGATCCGAAACTGGTGGACAACAATTTGCCAGAGTATCCGGCCTTACCGTCATTCTATGATGCCCGTAAAATTGAGGAAATTCGCAGAACCATTATTGTCTGTGACGTTAAGAATGAATGGCGCCTAGACGACTTGATGGAATGTTTTCAACGCGCCGGTGAAGTAAAATATGCTCGCTGGGCAGAGAAGGATAACAAGACGTATTGCATGATCGAATTTTGCGATCAGCCCAGCATTATACATGCTCTTAAACTGCAAGGACAAGAGTTCAAAGGCGGATATCTCAATGTTTACCATTCAACTGATTCAATTACCAAACCGGAGGCGAAATCAAACGAGGCAGCTCAGGCAGAAATCGAAGAGGCAATGACCATAGTAAAAGAAGCTCAAAATATGATATCTGCCGCCATTGATCCTGTCATTGGTATGCTAGCTAAGGATAAACGTCGACGCTCTCGCTCACGTTCGAGATCTCGTGAACGCCGCACTAGTCGTTCACGTTCGCATCGTTCACGTTCTAGGCGTCGATCTCGATCACGCACTCGTAAACGTTCCCGTAGCAAGTCTAAGCGGCGCTCTCGCTCTCATTCTCGGACTTCGCGCTCACGCAAGCGTTCGCGTTCTAGGAAACGTTCTCGCTCTCGTCGTAAGAGTCGGTCCCGTTCCCGTTCTAAACGGCGATCGCGCTCCCGGGACCGTCGTGCGAAACGTTCACGCTCGCGCCACCGTCGCAGTACATCAAGATCCCGTCGGTCACGTTCGCGCACCAAACGCTCTAGATCACGTGAACGTAAACGTTCGCACCGAGCTCGTGATGAAAAGCGTTCGCGTTCTTCACGCTCACGTAGTAAGCGTCGTTCTCCATCTCTATCTACGAGATCGCGTACAAGTCGCAGCAAAGACATTGTCCCGCTTGTAAAGTCATCTTCATCTTCTAAACGGCGTTCTCGAACACCCGATCGAAAGTTGAAGCCCATTGTAGAAGACATCGAAGTGAAGAGTACCCGATCTAGTGTCGATTCCAAGTCTAGGAAATCGGTTAGTGTTGAAAAATCCGATAATATGGATATTTCCAATTCACCATAAATTTGCTTCTTTAATGGTTACACATTTCAATCTTAAGGTCAAGATAACGTTACATTTTGTGAGAACCATATTTTTTTTTTTTGAATTATAATACTTTTACAGTTAAGGTATGATTATTGTAAATCATAAAAGATTAGAGTGACTTGTAATTTGGGCTTTATCCGTAATAACCATTTTTTTCCTCAGACAAAGCTATTACAATAAAGGCATCTCGATAATACTACCCGACGTTGGTTTCTGAGAATTTTTAAAACACAGGACAGAAAACCCAGTATAACATCCAAAAAAAGTATATATATGTAGGTATGGATAGATGGTCTCAAGGTAGGATGCAAATTATTACAATGAACAACAGAGGATATGTAAGAAATAGTGTTTCTGAAATACCAAGCATTTAATATTATTAAAATCAAAAATCCACTTTTAGTCAAAGAAAAAAATATTTTATTAAGTTGAAAATAGTTCTGTTCGCTATGCAAAAAACTTGTACACGCTGGTACTAATTGCTACACAATCGTGCTCGTTTATATCATGATTCAATAATTAATTATTAATTATTGAATCACGACAATATATACTGTTTTGTTTTCCACTTGAAATAATTGAAAAAATTATTATGTTCCAAATGCAATTGGGGACGCCAGCTGGCACTGAAGCTTGCAGATGTCTCTCTTTGTGAGAGTAAGTTACCTTATTCTCTGAATTTCGTTACTGGCTAATTCTTACTGGATTTTCCGAACGAACACAACTATTATTAATCGCTTTCACGTCACTTGACAGATGAGAGTCTCTATCGAAGCATTTATTTATGTATGTGTATGACAATCAATGAAAATCCACGAGATACATTTTCCCTTTAGCCTACATACACTATAGGGCTGTTGAGGATCTTGTTTAAAATACAAAACCGCGTATCAACAAAATGCAAAACCGCGTATCAAGATAATGCAAAACCGCATATGTGAATTATGTAAATTATCTTTTAGAGAGTAAAAACACTCATATTTCAGAGTGGTTCTCTTTTTTCTGGCTAATAATAAAATTCAGGACGAATGGATAAGGATTGAGCCAAGAGCTTCTCTGAGCAAATCCAATTTTTGGCAGCAAATGTCAGTTAAGCGGTTTTGCAGAATGACAATATGCGGTTTCGTATTTTAAACGACGATATGCACAACGTCCTAAACAGCCCTTATATATATTTATGTTCTCGAGTTGGTTATTATACATATTTAAAAACGTTGCTGAAAACTTTGTTGCTGATTAAACATCATTTGTTGCTGCTGTTGTTGTTGATGATGAAAGTCTTGTGTTTGTTGCACTTGCTGCTGCTGCTGTCCTGTACCAGGTGGTCCAGATAAACGCACTCGTTTAGCGCTTGGCTCCTGCTGTTGTTGTTGCTGCTGTTGCTGTTGTTGACGTTTAGTTTCCGCCTTGTCTTCTTGATCGTCATCAGTTAAAAATTCCCTCTTTGGATATGGAATAGGCATGCCAGCGAATACATCTTGAGTTGGCAATGGATCCTCTTGAAAGTAGGGATCTTGCATAGCTTGTTCTGAAGTTATGCGCTTATTGGGATCCATAAGTAATAGTTTTTGCAAAAGATGGAATGCTTTACTGTCTGGCTTTATTTTATGACGTTCCATATATTTGGCAAGTGAGCACGTTGAATAAGTGGAGCGCTTAAAATCTTTCGTTAATGTATGATGCTCCGGCATTTTCTTAATATCCTCCCAGTCTTTGTCTTGAGGAAATCCCATTACGTTGAAAATTCGATCCAGTTGATCGTGGTGATAAGGATTACTAGTTTTTATATCCTCTTGTCTGCAATGGAATATTGGTTCCGATGTTAGTAATTCGGCGAAAATGCAACCTATTGCCCAAATATCAATAGCTTTTGTGTAATGACGAGCACCCAGAAGCAATTCAGGTGCTCGATACCAGAACGTTACAACCACTGGATCTAGATCAGCTAACGGTTTTAGTGGAGCATTAAATAGACGTGCAAAACCCATATCTGCAATTTTTACGCGGCCCCGTTCATTACCATCGCCCATTACCAGAATGTTAGCTGGTTTTAAATCGCGATGAAGAACCCAGTTACTGTGTAGATAATGTATGCCATCTAGAATTTGATATAGTAAACTCTTAACCATACCTCTAGGCACAATAACTTGCTTCTTGGCAGCTTTAGCAGCTCTATGAAATTTTATGATGTGCCACAGATCATGTTCGGCATAGTCGATTAGGAGAAATACTTTGCGGTCGTTGTGGGACAAAAATACGCGAATGAGAGTTATTACATTTTGATGTTTTAACTCACGAAGCAGCGCTATTTCTCGACACGCTGACATGGACAAACCAGTACCATCAATCTGCTTCAGTGCATATTCTTTACCATCAGTGCGCTCCTTCCATTTCGCCTTGTAAACATGGCCGTATGTGCCACGCCCAACCTT